AGTTGTAATTGATGAAGCTCATTATTTTAAGGTCTTGGCATTTGTTTGACTTTATGTAGAGTCTTTTTTACTTTGTAAACATGACATTGATTTTCTTGTTAAGAAACTTAGGAGGTTGGATTGTAAAGATCATCAATAAAACTGCCCCAACATATCTAGTTGGTGAAGGTTATTTCAACTGATGGAGATTTTGAGAATAAGTTTAATTGTGGCGTGTTTCACATGTGGTTTGAATGTGTATTGTTAGTCTATTGTTGGGGCATTAATGAAAACCCTTGGTTATAACGAGGCTTGTTATTTACCCGCCAACTCATCATAGTGGCATTTAGTGCGAAAATTCATTTACAACCAACAACATTTTGTGATGGGTTTAGTGGAACTAGATCCAAAATGTCTATGCTGACAAGAGCATCAAACTCTTTGGAGATAGCATGATGTCACTTTTGATCTTTGATGGCTTAGGTCACTATCAAATCGAGGAATAGTTGATTAATAGGTTTGAAAATGTTATTTTTGGCTCGTGTTAGTATGAGATGGGTGGATAGTGTGGGGGGAGGTTTAGTTTGGCTTAAAAAGAGGTGGTGGTGCTGTTTTGGTTGACCGAGCAGACGTTGGGTACAACATTACCTATCTTACGACTAGTCTTAATTGAAAGTGTTTTCCCGTCATTGGGATATTGATGTGAAACTAAATGTGGTGATAAGAATTGCAATTAAGAGATTAATAAAATTATTAACTTTGTGTACTATCAATAAAATCTAGCCTACTCAAGTGGAAGCTTAAAAAGATAGCATAAAATATAAAGCAATAGCAATAGATTACACTTTGAGATTACTAGAACTTGCAAAGTAATAACCAAATATTTAAATAATGCAAATAGCCAATTATAACAAAGCCTCAAATTTAAAATATAGATCTTTCACCTCGAGATCCTTCACTCAACTCTTGAAAGTGGAGGCTAACGGAGGAGGATTGCAAGCATGCTTAGAGATGCCACTATCACACAAGTGATGCCGAGAGGACTAGTCGCCGGGGAAGAAGCGGGAGTTGGGGAAGCGGGTGGGCGTCCAAGAAGAATCCACGGAGTTCTTGGTCGTTGAAGCTCGATGGTTCCAGCAAGACAATAAACGATACGATTGATGTATCGTTCTACGGTGATGTCGTACTCCCAATCCGACTCGTAGAAGGGGGAGAGGAAGATGTCAATCTCCCCTTGTTCGTTGTAGGCAAAGCCGTGGTCAATTTCCGGATCCGCCATGCATCCTTGTTGGGAGATGAAGGAGCAACGACGGAAGAAAGTTGGAAAGGAGGGATGGAGGACGTGTGGCCGGCGTGAAGACTTGGGGAATCAGCTAGGATGGGTGGTCAATAGGTAAGTGCAGGAAATGTAAAATAGTTTCAAATTTTTGATAGTTTGGGGAAGGATTTAGTTTGAGAATTCAAATCAATTCCAAGAGGGAGAGAGGGGCAACAATGGGGAGGGATTTGGGGCTGAATTAGTGTGGATTAGGAGTTAATTTGGGAGAGAGAGAGGGCCTATAGAGGGGTCGGCCAAAATAGAGGAGGGAGGGGATTCAATTTTAAATAGGTGGGGCCCACTTGTTTAATTAACATATTTGAATAAAATATGTAGTAATTTCAGATTTTAAACAATAAGGAAAGTTTCCTAATTTACATGTAAGCAATTGGAAACTTTTTTTGAATTTCAAATTGGAATTGAAATTCAATTATGACGATTGCCTAAAATCTAGGATTTATTTTAGGAAAGTAATCAATGCCTCATGGGAAATTTGAACTTCAAATTCAAGATCCCAAGAGGGTGGTCGACGGGTGGAGATGTGGAGAGGGTGAAATTGGGGAAGGAGGCCAATGGCTTGGAAGGGATTTTGAGTGGTGGTGGTCGGCAGCTTGGGCGACCCAGGGTGGCCGGCGGCTTAGGCGACCCAGGGTGGTCGGCGATAAGAGGATTTTGAGGAGGGGAAAGCTAAGGCCAAAAAATCATGGGAAAAGCTTGGAAGATTTCAAAGAAGCTTCAAACCTCATGCATCTCCTCCACTAGAACTCACAAAGAGTTTTACAAGCACCACCTCTTCAAAAAACTCACAAAGAGATCTTGAAAGATACCACGAACTCGCTAAGAGATCAAGAGAGAAAATTTCATTCATCAAAAACTAAAAACTTACATTACATGAAGCCTCCTATAAGTAGGCCAAAATAAAAATAAAATTGAAATGACAAAAATGCCCTCAAGGCTACATATGTGACTCAATGCCCATAGGAGCAAACTAGGAAAAGAAATACAAGCATAAATAAAATACAAAAAAATCTAAAATAGAGTCTCTGGATCGTAACTGTCGTTCTGCGTCTCCGACGATTATACACGTGTCGAAATCTGATGTCCTCATCATTCTCCCCAGGTGGGAGAAAGCTCGAACCCGCCAAGTGAGCATCTCTAGTAGTCTAGTACCACTCCAGTTGGTCAGGGTACAATCTTTGCAGCTCTTCCCGGTCGATCCACACGTTCTCCGTCTCCGATTTTCTTGCCCATTGAACTAGATACCTTTGGCGACCACCGTATTTAGTGGAAATGATCTCATCGCTAAGTATTGCCTCAATCCTCTCCGCAGTAAGTAAAGTGGGAATGTTTGGGAGTGGAGATAGGCTGAGGATCTCACAAGGTAGGGACACACAAGGCTCATCATGTAATGGATTGGTAGGGTTAACCTCTGGACCCTCATAGGTTACAAGATCTTCAATGTTAAATGTGGGGTTAAAGTTAAAACCTTCAAGAAGGTCTAACACATAAGCATTACTGTTTATCTTGGAAATTATTTTGAAAGGTCTTGCACTTCTCGCATGTAACTTTTTAATGTCCTTTGCGGGAACCGCTTCGGACAAATCTGAACCATCACAAAATCTCCCACTTCAAATTCTTTAAACCTTTTCTTGAGGTCCGCAGTGAGTTTATAGTTAGCATTGCTCAGTTCAATTCTTTTATTAATGTCTTTGTGTAATTCTTGTAAATGTGATGCAAATGCAGATGCTGACTCAGATTCTCTAGACTTAGGACCCATGGGGATTAGATCTATAGGTTGCTTAGGTTGGTATCTGTACACAATCTCAGCCGGACTCAGACCCGTGGTTCGATCGACAAAATTGTTATAGGCAAATTCAACAATGGGTAACTTAGAATCCCAGTCTCTAAGGTTTTCACCAGTCCTTAAGAGGTTTCTTAAGCTTCTGTTAACAACCTCAGTTTGCCCATCGGTCTTGGGGTGGAAGACTGTGGAAAACTATAATTTCATACCCATCTTGTGCCACAGGGTTTTCCAAAAATAACTCGTAAACTTAACATCTCTATCGGAAACGATGGTTTTAGGTAGACCATAAAGTCTAACTATTTCATCAAAGTAAAGCTTAGCAACCCTGGAGGCATCAAAAGTTTTAGAACGAGAAAATGGGCCATCTTTGAGAACCGATCAACAACCACACAAACATAATCGTGCTTCCTAACGGTCTTGGGCAATCCTAGTACGAAATCCATACTTACATCCTGCCAAGGGCAATTGGGCATGGGGAGTGGAGTGTAGAGGCTCGTGGTTTGCTTGCGTTGTTTGGCAAGCTGGCAGGTGTGACACCTCCTTAAAAGTTTACTAACGTCACGCTTAAGGTTGGGCCAATAGAATCGATTTTCTAGAGCGGCAATGGTTTTGGATTGTCCGAAGTGGCCAGCTAAACCTCATGCATGTAATTCCCATACTAGAAATTCTCGGAGAGAGGTGTTGGGAATACAAAGTTTTTGAGACTTAAACATGTATCCATCTTCCACAAGAAAATCATTTATTATACGCTCGTCTGTGTTTGTCAGTAGGGAATACGTTTCTTTAAAATTAGGGCAGTCCAAGTAATCTTCCTTAAGTCGTTCAAAACCAACTACTTCCGTCCTCATTTCACGGGTAACCATCATCCAACGACTTGGGCATCCGCGGCTTTATTCTCAATTCCTGCTTTATGTCTAATCGTGTAAGTGTACTCTTGCAAGAATTCAACCCAACAGCCGTGATGAGCATTGAGTTTCTTCTACGAATTAATGTAATGCAAAGCCTCATGGTCTGAAAAGATCACAAATTCTTGAGGCAAAAGGTAGTGTCTCAAATATCTAAGGGATTGGATGATCGCATAAAACTCTTTATCGTAGGTAGAGTATCGCTAACGAATGTCGTTTAGTTTTTCACTGAAGTAGGCAACGGGGTGTCCTTCTTGCGATAAAACTCCTATACCAAGGCCTAATGCATCACAGGTTACCTCAAAAACTTTGGAAAAATCAGGAAGACGCATAACTGGTGATTCCACCATTTTTCTCTTAATCTCCTCAAATGCCTTAGTGGCATTTACTCTCCAATAGAATTCTCCTTTCTTCAAACAATCAATTATGGTTGCCATTATCGTGCTAAAATTTCTGATGAACCTTCTATCGAAGGTGGCCAATCCATGAAAACTCCGAACATTTCTAATATTTTTAGGCTCAGGCCACTCGTTAATCGCTCAAACTTTTTTGGGGTCATCGGAAATTCCTTGAGAGGATATGATGAATCTGAGAAAAGTGACACGGTTTGTGAGGAACATACACTTCTTAAGGTTGGCATACAATTGTTCTTTCCTCAAAACCTCACATACTTGATTCAGGTGATTTAAGTGTAGGTCCACCGAGCTACTGTAGATTAGGATGTCATCAAAATATACCACAATGAATTTTCCTAAGAACGGCCGTAAAACTTGAGTCATAACTCTCATGAACGTGCTAGGAGCGTTACTAAGGCCAAATGACATAACCATCCACTCATACAACCCATCTTTAATCTTGAAAGTCGTTTTCCATTCGTCCCCCGGGTGGATTCTGATTTGATGGTAACTGCTCTTAAGATCGATCTTAGAGAATAGGGTTGCCCCAGTCATCATGTCCAACATGCTGTCCAAGCGTGGAATGGGGAAACGATACTTCACAGTAATCTTATTGATGGCATGACTATCAACACACATCCTCTAGGAGCCATCCTTTTTGGGGTTAGAAGGGCAGGGACCACACATAGGCTTAAGCTCTCCTTTATAAATCCCTTTTGGAGCAGATCATCCACTTGCTCTTTTAGCTTAGCGTTCTCCCCTAGGTTCATACGGTAGTGGGGAAGGTTGGGTAGCGAGGCTCCGGGTACTAAGTCTATCGCGTGTTGTATGTCTCGTAGAGGGGGCAGTTGGTTTGGAAGGTCTTCAGGGATAACCTCAAAAAATGTTTCAAGGAGTGGTTGGACCTCTTCCGGAATGGGTTCTCCTAACTCTTTAATTGTTTCACGAGCCACTAGGGCGTACATGGTGGTTCCTTGGTTAATCTCATCTTCCACTTCCTTTGCAGTCAAAAGGTGTAGTCTTATGCTTTGTTTGGCAGGGGTGGGCTTGACTTCCGTCTTATGGCGCTTAGGTTGTGAAGGTATCAACTTGATTTTCTTACCGTTATGCTCGAACACGTAGGTGTTAGTTCTCCCATAAATATGGACGTCGTTATCGAATAACCACGGGCGATCGAGGATAATCTGACCTACATCCATAGTCAACACATCACACCAAATTTTCTCTTGATATCCAACAAACTCTATGGGGATAAGGCTTCTTTCTTTAATTTCTATGGTAGTCGAATTTATCCAAGCGACCTTGTAGGGGTTAGGATGGGATGTCACCTTGAGATTAAGTTTGGATATCATGGCTGAAGAGACTGCATTGATACAACTTCCATTGTCGATGATAACCTTGCAACTCATCTCCAATCTTGATAAAGGTATGGAAAATCGAAGTTCTTCGTCAATCGTCATTGGGTTTGAGTTGGGACAACGCGCATCTAACGACTTACAGGCCAACAGGGTCGTCCTCATAAAAGAAATCTTCTTCATCGTCAACATGATGGGTCAATTCAGTCTCAGGTTCTTTCTCTGCTTCTTCTACTTCTTCAATGATAGTGACCTTATACGGACTAGAACACTGCGAAGCGATGTGTTCATAATCGTGGCACATATAGCACTTGGTTCCAGAAGTGTCTTTGGGAGTGTCACGCTCGGGAGTCTTACCTTTAAAGTCGGGACGGGATTGTGGTTGACTCGTTGTTGGTCGGTTAACTACATGACCAACAGGTCTAGTTTGAGGTTGATTGGAAGAAGCTCTATATGGGCCAGAACGGGAGTCTGGATGCCTAGAGTTAGAGTGGGACTTGGATTCTTCAAGGTCGAGCACTAAACTACAGGCTGCTTCCAAAGTTTTAATTCCTCTCGCGAAAAGCTCATTACAGAGATCCTCTCTTAAGCCAACTCTAAACATTGAAAGCATTTGGGTTGGGGTGGTGGTCTCCTCACCACTGCAAAAAATTAGGTAGTCATCAAAGGCAGAGAAATACTCCTTGACAGGTTTACTCCCTTGGGCCAGTCTATTCCACTTATCTAAGAGCTTAAGGTAGTAGGAAGATGGGAGATATTTTCTCTTGAGCTCCTGTTTCATTGTTCTCCAATCAGTGATGGGGTGTTCTCCACGGGCTTCATGCATGTTCTCCAAGTTTGTCCAGTAGTGGTTGGCTCGACCCGTAAGTTTCATCTCCGCGAACTTAACTTTTCGTTCCTCTGAGATACTATACCATTTGAAGTAACTATCTATTCCTTTGATCCAATCTAAAAAAACTTGAGGGTCGAGGGTACCATCGTAAGAAGGAGCGTCTATACGGATGTTTTTTAACAACTGAGCATTGTTATCTCTCCAAGTGGGTTCATTTTCTACGGGGTCCAAGAAGAATCCACGAAGTTCTTGGTCGTTGAAGCTCGATGGTTCCGGCAAGACAATAAATGATATGATTGACGTATCGTTCTACGGTGATGTCGTACTCCCAATCCGGCTCGTAGAAAGGGGAGAGGAAGATGTCAATCTCCCCTTGTTCGTTGTAGGCGAAGCCGTGGTCAATTTCCGGATCCGCCATGCATCCTTGTTGGGAGATGAAGGAGCAACGATGGAAGCAAGGAGGAAAAAAGGGATGGAGGACGTGTGGCCGGCGAGAAGACTTGGGAAATCGGCTAGGATGCGAGGTCAATAGGTAAGTGCAGGAAATCTGAAATAGTTTCAGATTTTTGATAGTTTGGGGAAGGATTTAATTTGAGAATTCAAATCAATTCCAAGAGGGAGAGAGGGGCGGCAATGGGGAGGGATTTGGGGCTGAATTAGTGGGGATTAGGAGTTAATTTGGGAGAGAGAGAGGGCCTACCGGCCAAAATAGAGAAGAGGGAGGAGATTCAGTTTTAAATAGGTGGGGCCCACTTGTTTAATTAACAGATTTGAATAAAATCTGTAGTAATTTCAGATTTTAAACAATAAGGAAAGTTTCCTAATTTACATGTAAGCAATTGGCAACTTTTTTTGAATTTCAAATTAGAATTGAAATTCAATTATGATGATTGCCTAAAATCTAGGATTTATTTTGAGAAAGTAATCAATGCCTCTTGGGAAATTTGAATTTCAAATTCAAGATCCCAAGTGGGGGGCCGGCGGGTGGAGGTGTGGAGAGAGGGAAATTGGGGAAGGAGGCCGGCAACTTGGGCGGCCCAGGGTGGCCGGCGGCAAGAGGATTTTGAGGAGGGGAAAGCTAAGGCCAGAAAATCGTGGGAAAAGCTTGGAAGATTTTGAAGAAGCTTCAAACCTCATGCATCTCCTCCATTAGAACTCACAAAGAGATCCACAAGCACCACCTCTTCAAGAACTCACAAAGAGATCTTGAAAGATATCACGAGCTCACTAAGAGATCAAGAGAGAAAATTTCATTCATCAAAAACTAAAAACTTACATTGCATGAGGCCTCCTATAAGTAGGCCAAAATAAAAATAAAAGCTAAAATGACACAAATGTCCTCTGGGCTACATAGGTGACTCAATGCCCACAGGGGCAAACTAAGAAAAGAAATACAAGCATAAATAAAATACAAATAAATCAGAAATAGAGGCTCTGGATCGTAGCATTCGATCTGCGTCTCCGACGATGGTACACGTGTCGAAATCTGATGTCCTCATCAGATAGGTGATTAAATATAGGGGGTTTACGCCTATGAAAAACTTGAACTTAGATCTTAAAACCCTTGCAAATGATGGCGAAATTGCTCGGTAGTTTCTAATTTGTAACCAATCTATCTTTCGACAATTTGACTCGGAACTTCATATGTTAAAGCTCTCATCAAATCACATAGAGAGGTAGAGGTGCCAAATTTTTAGAGCCCACAATGTACAAATATAAAATGTGCTAACTATGAAATCCACCTCAAATCCTGATTGTGACATATGGACTTGACCTGTGTACATAAAAATAATTACACAGAAATAAGTACATCAAATGAAGGATGACAGCACCTCCTTAAATTTAAAAGGATTAAAAATCCAAAATTAATTCCAAATAATTGCACAAAGTAAATGCAATAAATTGGAAACTCAAATGAATTCCAAATAATTGAAAAAAAAAAAAAAAATCTAATAATTTGTTCCCTATTATACTGTCTAGTCATTTCTTTAATGCATGATTGAAATTAATTATTGTGGTTCCTTGGGAGCTCTTTATGTATTGCATTTTACTTTATTTTAATTGTATTAATTAATTAAATGAATTTTTGATTGAAATTAAGTTTTAAGTAAAAAATCAATTGCTTAGTTTAGTAATTAAATAGATTTCAAGTTTTTTTTTTAAATTATATATGTTAGATTTGATTTGCTCATTTTATTTAGCATTTGATTTAATTAGTTAATTTAAAGTTTAGACTAAGCTTTTAGGCTAATTACTTGATTAAGTTCTATTAATTATTAATTATTTATGGAATCTATTTAAGGAATTAGATTTTTTAATTTAATTTAATCTTAGAAAGTTTTAAAGATTTAATTTGATTTAAGTCTAATTATTGAATTCCATCAGTTAGTTTATTATTTTATTTAAGTTTACAAGTTTTAATTAACTTTTAAATCAATAGATTAATTGAATTTCAATATAATTTCGTAACATAAATTTTCAAAGTTAAATTTTAAATTAATCTTTAAGTTTTCTCTGATTTAAGTTGTTGTTATAACTTTGAGTCAATTAGCTAATTAATTAAATTAATATTTAAATTAAAATTTAGTTAATTTAAGTTTTTCATTAAAGTTATATTGAATGCAATTTCAATCTTACTTAAGATGATTTAATTAGTGATCCATTTAATTTAGTACTTAAATTGGTTAGGGTTTAAGTTATTAAATTTTTTTTTCTTAAATAAATTATTGACTAATCAAATTTTAATTTGAATTTTCCAACTCTAAAATTTTTTTCACAAGTCTAGTATATTCGTAGAAATTTCAACAGCTTCTTGATGTTCCCTCCCAGTGAAGGAAGATAGGGGAGGGCACTTACCCTTTTGGCTTGATTAGACCGGATCAAATCGATGGCGAGGAGTATGAGAGAGCGGATCATACCCAAAAGAGTCTTCAATTCTTCAATCCACTCGGCCGGATCAGATCGACAGCCGAGGACTTTGGGGGGCCGTATCAACCCCGATACTTCCTTTAATTTTACTAATTTGATGATGATGCCACACACACTTTTTTTCTTATTAATAATGCATAATTATTGTTATTAATAAGAACCATAATTATTATTTATTATTAACAATGTTCTGTTAATAATAAATAATTAAACATAACCCTTTCTTCTTTATCTGTTTGAAATCAAGAAGCAGACATTTGGAACGGACCAAATACAGGCCAAAAAGCAGATTGGCGTGATCGATTTTGTTCGCAGGAAGTCTCTTGGGTTGGGTTGGGCGCAGACGGGCGGCTTTGCTTGCGTGAGAGGATCGGCTGGACAGGTCGCCGGCGGAGGCTGACGGGGCTTGGTTTCACGATTTGAGTAGGTGGCTTGGTGCCATGTGAGAGGGTCGATTTCGGTCGTAGACAAGTGGTGAAGCGGACGGACAGGCGGGGACGTCGGGATAGGTCCCTTCGCCGAATTCAAGGAGACTCGCTGAAGCAAGGAAGAGCCGACGAGTTCGACTTGCTGATTGGATCCGGACAGTGCTTGTAGGAAGAACCAGAGCCCGAAGAAAAATCCTCCAATTGATTTCCTTCTTACTTGCATTCGACGTGGGCGATGAGGGGAATACGGTTGGATCTCAACACGTTTCTATCATTCGTATAATTAATTGTTTGCATCCATCACTTGGACTCATAGCTTTGCTTGTTGACGGTCTTTGATGACAGTTGGGTATTTTTTTTTAAATACAAGCTCCAGTCCTGCACTTCATCGTCCTTCAGAAATAAAATTTATTTCAAAAAGGATGATTAATTATTTTCTTTCTTTCTCAATCCCACATTATCTTTGATGTTAAGCCTTAATCTTAATTGAAAAATCTGCATGCTTTTGGAGTTGCTATTGACTGAATCTCAATAGAAAAATTAAATCAATCATGATTGTTTGCTTTTGGACCATACATCCTTTCAGTTTATATTTATGAGTTTGATTCTTTCTCCATTCATTTTTTTTTTCGATGTTTTCATATATGAATTTTAGCGGTAACTTAATAATTGAACCACTGTAGATGCAACTCCAATGACTATCTTTGCATAAACTCAAGCGAAGACTTTGCATGATAGTCTTTATGCATGCTAATCAATCTGTTTTATAATCCAAACTCCACTGTCAAACATAGATGGTAGGTTGAATTTGGGGATGGTAATGAAGATGTCTACTAATCATTAGTTGGCTCTTGATTTTAAATCCTCTAAGAGCATTATTTTCTTTGCAATCTTAGGACCACAATCTAGTAATATATTGTTCAAACTCTTTTGACATTGAAATCTCTTCAAAGCTTGCGATCAATTACTAAATTGAAAGGTATTGAAACATGTCTTTGAATTATCCTCAACTAATTCTACATAGAATGTACCTAGGTCCTAGTGAGAGAAACTCTGGTTTTCTAGTGAGAGAAACAAAGTTTTTTTTTCACAAATTTTGATTCGTGCTTTTCATGGCGGCGGACGGTCGCCGGCTGTCTTCTACGGCTGGCGGACACACTGAGGGCCGACGTGCTATTCCGACTCGGTAGTTTCTAATTTGTAACCAATCTATCTTTCGACAATTTGACTCGGAACTTCATATGTTAAAGCTCTCATCAAATCACATAGAGAGGTCGGGGCGCCAAATTTTTAGGTTCACAGTGTACAAATATAAAATGTACTAACTATGAAATCCACCTCAAATCTTGATTGTGACATATGGACTTGAACTGTGGACATAAAAATAATTACACAGAAATAAGTACATCAAATGAAAGATGACAGCACCTTCATTAAATGGATGTTTTCCTCTTCATTATAGCTCTAATTTTACCAAATCTGCTACAATTATGAGACCTTAGGCCGTTTACACCATAAAGGAAGAAAAAAAAAAAGCTGCAGGATTTAATAGAGCTAAATGTAATTAAGGCTTCATTTGGGACGGCTTTCTTAGTGCTTATTAAAACAGTTTTTTAGTATGAAAATTTAATTTTTTGCATTTGAAAGTTGCTTTAATGAAGCCTAAATCAAGACCTTTCCTATGTTCATAGATCAAATTTTATGTAACGACGTGGGTCTTTTTCAAAGCAAATTAATCAAGGTAAAAATTATCAATATGTGGGTATCTTTGCTCGTTAGTGTGTGTGCGCGCGCGCGCTTTGCATATAATATATATTTTAGGGAAATAATATTTCATTATTGTCAATATGAAATATTACTTTGCATTGAAAAAGAAAGTATCGTGACTTGGGCTTCATTTGGGATGACTTTCTTACTGTTTTTTAAAGCAGTTTTTTAGTACTAAAATTAATAAATACGGCCCACATGAAGCCTTAGTTGCAATCGCAATGAATCATGTTACGCATATTAAGGATCAGAAATTATAAAAAAATATAAAAGTTTAAAAGAAAAAAAAAACATTATTCTATCCAAGAAATGAGATACTCTACCTTCATTTTAGACAATTTGAACTGCCAATTTATTCCTTCAACGGCGCCTTCTTTAGCTTAATAATTGTTTTTTTTTTTTTTTGAATGATGCAAAAGCGATATTATTAAAAAGGAAAGACCTAATACAAACTATCAATACAATCACATTCCTTCTTTAACATATGAAGACAATATTATGCATACTAATATCATCCCAAAGAAAGCTATACCTAAGGGCAAGGTTAGCACAAACATCAGCTAACTTATTACAATACATATCTACACAATTAAAATAACATGATGAAAATGTTTAAGGAATGCAAATTGTTCCATGATGATTCCTACCTTATTACCACTCATCTTTTTTAAACCATCCTGAAGAAACTTGATGACATTAAGATTGTGCTATTCAATTATAATTCCCTTATAACGCATCATCCAATCTTCCATGACCAAACCAAAGGAATGAATAGCTAACATTTTCAATCGATATACATCCCAATGTACACCACTGAATCTGAATGCCAATAAAAGCCTTTCCTTGTGATCCTGGAATACACCCCCAACTCCTATATGATATGACGATTGTTAAGAAGCATATACATTAACTTTTATACAATCGGGAGGAGGAGGGTGCCAACATTTCTTGAACAACCGATCAGGCAGATTAGCACCCCAGAAGCCCGACTTTACCATAATGCATCCAACCGAGGATGATATAGAAGCAAATCTAACATAATTTGTTGCAATAAAAATACTATTGTCCTCCTTGCCACCATACACAATTTTATTCCTAGATTTCCAGCATAGAAATACAACAAAACAATAAAGGTTTACCAAGAACCTATTATTGGACGCACAATCCTCCAACCAAGTGATGCATTCTTTAATGAGACCAAAGGAGGAATACAAAACCTCCATTTATTCAAATAATGAATTACTTGAATAACCTTCAAGCAACTCACAGTCACATGTTCATAATCTTCTATTGTTAAACACCCTCTAGGTCATAAATCACCAGCTCTTTAACCTTCTATGCACCAGGAACTGACAAGTAGAAATAACATTATGATACAAACGCCACTAGAAAACTTCCACATGAGAATTAAGTTTTACCTTCTTAATCCAACTCTAATACAAATTTTCAATCGGATGTTGCACCAAAGAGTCAAATGCTAAAGTAGAAATAGATCTTCTTGAGCTTTGATTAATAAGTTCCACTTGGTCTTCCATCAATTCTGGATAAATCTGGACTTAACAAATCAGCAGGATCAAATCCTCCCAAAATAATTTTGAAGTTCCTCCTTATTCCAATTTCCATCCACAATCATATCATTGCTTCCTCGAGTTGAGACAAACACACTTGTCCAACAACCAAACATCATTGAATACATTAATAGAACCACCTACTACAATTTTTCATCTAACAATGGGATGAAGAGCTTTAGCACCATTTAAAATAATCTTCCAAGAGACCAACGAGCTATGCTTAACTTCATAAAATCAACTCCAAGAACCGTATTTTGCTTCCAAAACCTTGTACATCAAAGAATCTTTCTCATTGAGGAACCTCTACGCCAACTTCTCCCTTAAAAGTCCCACCTTGCTTATAGAAGAGTGAAGGCCACGTCCACCCAACTTGATCCACTTACATAACATTCCCCAGCTCACATAATGGAGGCACTTTTTTCAATCCTGCTTATGCCAAATAAAATCCCTACACACCTTATCAATTTCAGCAAGTACTCCACTAGGAACTAGAGAGTAAGTACAATGAAAAGCCGTAAGCGAGAGAATAATAGATTTCAGAAGAATAAATCTCCCAACTAAAGAAATAAATTTATTCTCCCAAGCATTAACTTTCCCCATAATTTTATCAAGAATTAACTGAAAATCAACCACCACGAGCCCCTTCAAAGCAATCTTCACACCCAAATAGTTCATCTATTTAACAGCTTTAAACCCCATCAAATAAGATATACTTTTCTCTCTCCTCCTTTTCACAGTTTTCCCAAAAAAACATGATAGATTTTTTATAGTTAATCTTTTGGCCATAATTGCAATTACATGTAAGGCATCCATCTCAAGTACCTCGCTCCTTGGATAAATTTAATTACCTCATGCTTGGTTACATAAACAAAATAAAATTCTAAAATATTTTATAAGATGAACCACAATTATTTGCAATAAAGTTTGAAATTTTTATATGAGAATTTTTTAAATGCTTTGTTCATTGTTATCCTGAAAAAAGAACATTTTATAAGAATGTTAAAACCATCTGGTAAAATATTAAGTAGTCTTACATATAAATTTTAATTTCAAAATGATTTATTTACCGTTAAACTCATTATTAATTCCAATGCTAGTTTGCTCTCAACCCTTTATTTTATTTTAATCAGAAAAAATAGTACAAATTATTTATCTATTGAAAATAGAGTTTAATTGTAAGAGTACATGAAATAGGATAAATTATTCTAAGCGGACATTGGATGGTCCGGAGACCAACCAGAACGAGCCATATCACTGGTACACAGCGGTATCGAGCACCGATACCGAGCAAAAAAAATGATGTGGCGCATTCTGATTGGCCTCCGGATGCCGTCTAGGATCCGCACAGAATATTTTTTTCCAGAGAGAAATGAAGAGGAATGGCGAGGAGGAGGAGAGAGAGAGAGAGAGAGAGAGAGAGAGAGAGAGAGAGAGAGAAATTATTATAAGTTCAAAAGGTTAATGACTCAATGGTATTGTTATGTAGGATTTTGAATGATTATTTGAGGGCAAGAATAGATAATTTAATGTAAGAAGAAAAAATTGATAAAATTAAAAATAACAAGTAGTTATTAAATTTAATTAATATAAAGATTTATGTCTTCATTTTCAAAAGATTAAGTTGTCATTTCAAAATGTTGGTAAGCCTAAATTAATAGATTGATTTTCTTAAAAATGAACCCATCTAGTTTTGATTTGCAACAAGCATGCTCATAATAGAGATTGTTTGCTTGATTGAATTTTATTGTATTAAATTTTATGAACATTATCCAATTATTTGTAGAGAATTGATTCACAGTAATCAATTTTTATCGCAGTCTTTATTATTATTATTATTATTTATTTATTTATTTATCAACTCAATCAACTATTTCACATTGGGCCTTTCTCGCCGTAAAGATTGTAGTTAATTGATTTAGTTTTATCAACTTCAATCTTTACGATGAGAAAGAACGAATTTGAAATATGAGACTTACATACTTACCTTTACCTATAGACATTCGATCAAAATTTATGAGAATATCTCTGCCTAAAATTTTTTCAACTATTTGAACGGCCATTAAAAGGGCAAATTATTAGGTCCGGTCACCGTTTTAGGTCCGGACATTCACTGAAAATTTGCCATGTGGATTGCGCTTTGACTAAAAAAAATGCAGGTAAAGCGCAGCCAAAAAAGCACAGTCAAAGCGCACCTAAAGCGCAATTAAAGCGCAGTCAAAGTGCAATCAAAGCGCACAGTCAAAACGCAGTCCACATGATAAGTTTTTATTGGATGTCCGGACCTATTTCTAGGTCAGGTGACCAGACATAATAATTTGCCCATTAAAAGTAATGCGACTAAATTTATAAAACATACCAAGAACTAATGAACAAAAGGAATGATCACTAATATATTACTGACCAATTTATTTATCAAATTGAATATGTATAGCAGGGGCATTTGAACTCCTACATGGAGAAATTTGATAATTGAATCACAAAATCCCGAAATGGTTATTCATCTCACAAACAATTTGATTGAGGGTATTTACATACATGCCATAAAATTTCTAAGTATTTATATATCTAACATCTAAATCTTTATATTTATTTATACATACATAGCACCCTAATGTCGACATCACTAATACATTAGTGATATTTTTATGTAATTTAAAAATTAGGATGTTATATAAATGAATATAAAGATCTAATTATTAGGTATATAAATATTTAAGGATTTTGTAACATTCATGTATATTTCCCTTTGGTTTGATCCTCTTACCAATAGATTTAGGCTTCATTTGGGAATATTTTTTTATTGCTTTTTAAAACAAACTTTTTAGTATAAAAATTCTAATTTTTGTACTAAAAAGCCGCTTTAAGAAGCGGTAAGAAAGCCGCCCCAAACGAAGCCTTATCCTAAGTTGAAAGTGGAATTTTCCACTGGTGAGGTATTGGACCGATGTCATATATGATTTCTCTGTGGCAAGACCAGACGAGCTTAATTGCTTCAGGTGTTCCAATTCCTGCACCTCTAGGATCACCAGCCGGTCCAAACCTGGAGCAAGACTTTCTCGCTTTTTGTAAAGCTGATTTTGAATAAAAAATGAGAGGAAATAGGCGTTCATGGAACATAAATTTCACATACCAGTGATTCTGAGGAGCACCGGTTGTTCGTGCTCTGATACCGGCATATGTCGTCCCATTAACAGACCTCCCAAGAACTTCCTGCAAAGAAGGTTCATGGCAAGAGAAATGTTAACATAAACTTTTTTACTGTGCACCTGATCTTATCCCTGAAGTGTGCTCACTGACGATAATAGATTGCTTGAAAATTTTATTTTTTTCAGCTTTGGTAGAAATAATATAGCAACCATCAGCTCGCATCATATTTAAGCTAGCTCAAAATTGGACATAAATAGATATATATATTACTTTTTGCTCATCCATTTTTGCATCTATCCATGCAAGATATTAAATATTTAAGGGAAGCATATATATGAATATGCATATTAAAAATATAATTAGCTAAAAGTATAACAGGCCGAGAATTAAATCTTTTTTTTCTTTCATGGATCGAGTTGGGATTAAATTTAATAAATTAGGACAAGGTTCAATTGAGATTGACCCGGATCCGACCTCCTGTTTTGTGCTCGCAACCCAGATCTGCCTCTCCCGAGTTCGGGTCGGCAACTAGACTCATTCACCATCCCGCGCAGGCGTGCCCACGCGGAGGCAACGGTCATTCTCTCCCTTCCGCCATTCCGCTCTCGCCGTCTCACGTGAGTCGCATGAAGCATTTTCACCCAGACTGCGCCCGCACTGAGCCCGCTCCCTCTTGCTCGCTCCTGCACCCTAGCTTGCTCACTCCCCCGTGCTTGTTCCGTTGCTCCCGCACCCGTCTCAGGTGACGCGTCTGCACCTGGAAGCCTGCGCATTCTCACTCAACCCAAGAAATTATGGGTTATCATGTCGGGTATGGTCAACCTGGTAACCATAGGTAGGGTCCAAGTTTAAAGTTTACAAAACTGGATCGGGTTAGGGTCAACCTGTTTGAACCCGGGTCTATTCCGGGTTCAACCCGAACCAACTCCAGACCTATTTTGACACCCCTAAGTTACATAACGGAGGCTAGTAATACAATGTAGAGGAAATTCTTGAAGAAATCCAAACTACCACAAGTTTGATAACGGTGGCCTATGAAAGCAATGAGTACTTAATATTATTAAAATGTCAATGAAAAACATCAACTATTTAGTCTACCTGTAAGAACATTGGATCGTTGGAAACTACAGCAGCTGTCAAATGTGCAAGCATCCTTTCACAAGCCTCCAACACAAGTGCCAGCTGATCTTGCTTGTATTGAGTAATAACCTGGGATAGGAACTAATGTTAGGAGCACCTTTAAAATGATAAAATCACAAGGAGTTATTGAAAGGTTGTTGATATAAGGTAACATATCTTATATTCCTTCTATTAATGCAAGTAAAAATAATACTAACAATATTAGTTACAAAAATAACACAAGGGTTAGTTTGTTTCATATGAAGCGTTTGGAAGCGACGTGTGGTTTATTTTACAGGGAGTGCACGAAACTGATTTTTCAGCATCCCTTCACAACTAGTGAGAAAAAGGTTCATTCCAAATCTCTCTTATGCCTATAAGTGACTTCAAAAATTTTCCATAAGCTAGATGAAAAACAATGGAGCTTTAGAAAGGCTCCACAAAAGATGGAAGGAAATGTTCAATGCGGACAAACTTTTAATGGCATCCTATTGTTAAAGGCTTGGTTATTGGAAAGAGAGCCCAATCATGACAGAGAGGGAATTCGAAAGTAGAAGATCACCATCTTGTTTGTTATCAAGTTTAAGATTCTAAAGCTAGGGAAGAAACATTACAAAGTAAACTTGCCTCTAAAATGGACTTCTAAAATAAATCGTAAGATAGCATTATTTTGTGTCATTGCACTAAACACAATTAAAGAACCTGAAGCAATCAATTAAAAAAAAATCATATGCATCTAGATTCCAAATATTAACTAAAAAAGTTATAACAAAATCAACATATATTAACAACCATATAGCAGATGAAAAATTATTTTCCAGTTCCTAAAACAATCTTCACAAGAAAATGCAGCTGTCAAGTAAAGGTATTCAAATTAGATGCATCTGTTTTAACTCATTTAAAAATATTCATGTAGGGAAATATATGAGAGACCATAACATACAATTTCTAGTTCATTTTTTGAACAAGTAATAATTAAGGTTCAATATCAAATGTAAAACAAAAAATCAGGACTAATGAACTACAGCATAAAACAATATTCGCAATCAAATTTGATCATTTTTTGCATATATGAGCAGCATGAGTAAGGAGTGAGTATTGACTTATTCCCTTAACCACAAACGCTGTTTTCAACTATGTTTAAGGCTTATTTGGTTGCTTGCAAATCAAAATATATTTTACAAAATTGTGATCTATTTTTCACTAATTTGGAGCTTAAAAATTAAATCATCATTTTTTGGGAGTTCTGAGTAGGTTTGTGAAGTTTGAGAACAATGTTGGCATCTAACAAGATGTATTTAACAACTTCATCATTTTTTAACATTTTAAACATGATCTTTTATTTCATGCAACCAAATGAGCACTTGGAAATTAATTAAAAAAAAAAATTGTTTATACTTCTAAGCATTAGGTGATGCATCCTCATAAGGTTTCGGTACTCAACACATTATAAAAAAGAATGTAATCCATTGTCATACTATCAGGAACCCCAACTAAAGTGCTATTATATGGGCTTGATAATGGACTAAATCTTCATAAAATTCTATGGTGGACTTTGACGTTCTACCACTTTTTTTATGTAGGCTACAAAAGATGATCTGGGTTTTCCATTAGGCAAAGCATGGTCTCTCTTCTTTATACAACACATGCACTAGATGGCCTGGCTGCCACATGCTTTGATTCTCTATCTATATATATAGCAGACAAAAGATAAGACCAAATGAAACTACAATTGCACAGAGTGTTCTATGGCAGTCCAACTATGTCTATGGGGCCTAACAGCTTAATAAAGTTTTAAGCTAAGAAAAATCCCAAGGGCTTTGGTCAACCATGACTATAATAAGAAGAGTAAACAACAACAACAACAATAACAACAGATCTTTATTCCAGGGTCGGCTACAACTACACTAAGAAGAGTATTGGAAAGAAATGCTTGGCCTTATCATCAGGCATGGTTGACTGGTCAAGGGCATCAAACAAGCCAGAACAACTTGGCCGGAGAACTGAAACAAGACTAAGGTAGTAGGCTCAACTTCTGTAGCTTCATTGTATTACCTGGAATGGGCCAAAAAGTTCTGTTGTAACTAGCTCAAAATTCTTATCTTTAAGTATCTCATCAATTGGAATAAAAAGGGCAGTTGGTTTCAAAGCACCATAGAGTTTTGGAATAGAATGATTCTCCAAGGGCTGGCCTCCAAAAAGTAGCTTTGATCCTGGTATTTCAAGCAGCTTCTCAATGTGTTCCACCATTCGATCTGTTGTAACCTGTGAAAGCATAAAGATAAGCTAGATATCAGTAACAACCACATCAGCCTTCAACACATTTACTTCAATTGACAATGTAGATATATTTGGTTATATTAATCACAGCGTTAAGCCTAAAAAATTAAAACAAGACATATGCCCCTAGGACTTACATAGGACGATCCTCTTAAATAAGGGTAAAAAGAAAAAAATTCATAATAAAAATAAAAATTACAAATAACAAATTAAGATAAGGTGGAATGATCTCGGCCGTCGATCGTCGTCTCCTCCTTTGAAAATCTTCATGATCGGATGTCTGCATCAGGAAGTTAATGTGACTTTGGAGCGCAAGAGGGAATGATTTTTTTTGGGGCTTTTGTATAGGATTTAGCTAAGTTCTAAATAAAAAACATACATAAATAGAGCGAGGCATATGCCTCATGCCAGCGAGGCGAGATGCGCCTCAAGGCGAGCCTCAGCCAAGATGAGGCGTAAGCCTCATAAAAAAAGCTTGAGGCACTGAAATTGCGCTGAGGCGGGCCTTAAGACGAGCCTCATATTGCGCAATTTTAAACAATGGCGTTAAGTTTTTCACACAAATGCGACTTAGTATGAAATTGAGATATTTTTAAAGAGACACATTTCATGATACCAAACTGGAGTCTAGGGAGCAAGAGTGAGAACCAGTACATGAAGCTCCCACCAAAAAGGGTTTAGGAGCTTACAATACATTTACAAAGAGGCAGTTCACATGAACTGAACCCATAACCTCAAAATCACAATGGAGGCAACTTAACTACTGCTTCGAACCACCAACATATTATATGGGAGCAAACATATAAATTGTTTAAATGGAAAGTAAACATCAGTTCAAAATTTAAACGGACATTAGTGTTATAGATTGCTTGCATGTGGCTCACCAAAGATAAGAGGTGTACTAACATCAATTTTAATTTCCCTAAAAAAAACTATCAGAGCAAGCGCTGCGTCGTTGAGCATACTGTGCGCTGGGACGCCAATCTCTCAGGTTTTATAGGATTTAAGAGAGCACCACGGTGTTGGGTTAGAAAAATTATTATTTTTTAAATATCAATATCAAATTTATACAAAATCTCACCCAATCCATCCCCTCCCCTATTCTTCTTTGCTTGTCAGTTGAGAAAAGGGGAGAAGGAAGAGAGAGAATGGAGGAGAGAGGAGAGATAACAGCTCTTGGGTCATTTTCATTGTGGGCTCCGAAAATTTGGCCCCAGCCTCCATCCGTTGTGCTTTTTCTTTGGGGGAGTTTTAACGGATTAAGTTCCGGGATAAATTTCAGGAAGGCAGATGGGCTTGTAGATAAGACACTACCCAGAGATTTCGCCCTCATTTTTTGAGGACTTTATGATATGAGTTTTAGTTTCCTATAGGCGCAAGCCCCTATAGTTAATTACCCCTCTCGATAACGAGAGAGAACTTTAGATTAATGGTAGTCGTCAATCAGATACGTAGAAATACGTATTATCTGGCATATAGTAGCAGCATGGGTTTCAGATGTTGGAAAATCGTTGGGAATTGAAGAGTTTGTAGATTTAATATTTAAAATAAAAATTTTCACTATCTTACACTTAAAACTGATGGTGGGGAATGGATGATGGGCCCGATCAAGATCCCATGGTTCCGACATCCCGGGCCATCGTGGTCCCTAGTTTACTTAGTTAGAGGAGGTAGTCGACCCAACCTGACAGAAGGATCTTTGTCGGTAGCCATGGGTTGCTTCGTCCAAGGGGACCTTATAGACCTGAGTGAGTGTTTGTCTAAGGGAACTAATTTGAATCCACCTTAGTTAACAGAGGGCTTTGTGACTTATCGATCATATCCTATTGATTCATATCTCAAGGATTTGATGCCACTAAGAAACGTATTGGCTCTAGCCATAACCGATATTTCGTGGTTCCATTTGACGACAAAATCACTCGGTTCAGAGGGCCCTAGGTCATAACCGTTAATTTTGCGGTGCCATTTGACGGCAAAACTGCCGGTTAGAGGACACATACCACGTCCTTACAAACAGGAGATTGTTTGAGAATGGATCATAATGATATTTTTGACTAGGGATTAGCTCTGTGTGAGCTGAAGTAGTTTTCAACTTGTTCACCCCGACAAACTATTGCAGAGGGTGGATGAATTTTGCTTTGAGTGATTGATGGTTGAATTTCAATTTTAAATATATGGGATTTGGATGATTTTGGAATTTTTGAATTTTGTGGGTATTTGAGATGACATTTTGGATATTTGGAATTGACCCCTCCGGTTGAGATTTTCTGTTCAACACGGCCATCATTGGGGTGTGGGGCCATTACATTTGAAAATATTTGCATTTTGTGGATGAACCTTGTCAACTCTATGAGCTGCCGATAAAGGATCGAGTATCGTAAGCTTTATGTCTTTATTAGTGAATTCTCATTGCTATAGGCTTTGAATGTCTAATATGAATGTATTAAGATAAATATACCGGTCATCACCACCGTATATTTATTTGATGGTTTGAACCCTGTCGACTCCTATTGATCCGCATAGAAGGATCGGGTTTGAACTTGAATTCACTTATCGACCCGCACAGCATCCCTAGACGTCACATATGTACTAATAATACGCTCACCGGAGCCCATGCATGTTTTTGATTATATTTACCCCTTTCGTGTACCTATGTGTATACAAACTATGGTGTATGTGTGGGGGCATTCTTGGAATGTTTGTAAACGCTTTATGCTGCTTGCATAGATGTTGCAGATCTAGTAGCGTGTTGTAGTAGCTTATGGATTGAGTTGTTTACTGCTTTGTACAGACAGACTATCGTGCACTATTTGTCATTTTCTGCAGATGGGCCATAGTGCACTAGTGAATCTCCTGCCTTAATTCGTAGGTCCTTGCATTTGTTGTAGCCCTTTGGCATTTTGCTTGTGAACACCATATTGGGTACACGATGGGTCTTCTACGGTAGATCGTAGAAGTCTTATACTTTTCGTGATGCTTTCGATATTTGCCCATGGAAGATATGCAGTGTATGTGGTAGCTCTCTTATCATATCTCGTGGGAGCTTGCATCTGCTGGTGTTATTCTATGTTTATCCATGGATGGCATAATAAGTACAACAAGCGGAGATTTCTTAATGTTTTGAATGACTCAGTGAATACATTGATTATGCTCTGATCTTATCCTTTATTGGTTAAGCATAGCTTAAGCAGATTTTTAAACTTTCAATCTTCCGGGAACTCTCAAATTGCTAGCTTCAATAGATAAGTTTTGAACCGTATCAGGAATTCTGTAACTTTTGCCACCCATGGAAATTCTAAGAGCCTCTTAACTATTCATTTGGCAACGAACTTTAATTTGCTACCATCATGATTCTCCACATTAGCAGATGCATGATTGCTGTGGAGCTGCAAACATTTATCATCTTCTATGCCCTCCATAATCAGCATTCTCTCTTCTCATAGGGGATGGACATATATACTCGCCACAATATTATTGTAAATGATGTTGATAATTATGGTTGGCTTCTATACTCACCGTGACTAATAGAAATATTAGATCTCCAAGCTTTGCTTATTAGCTTGTCATTGTATGATCTTCTATTATCACCCATATGTGGTTAGTTGCACACATCATGGATCTTCCATTCTTGAAGGCGACTTCAAAAAGCTCCTTACGATCATTGTCTTTCATATCCCATTTGGCATGACAACTCTGAGCCTGGTGGGTATCTTCAAGTTACTAGTTTTAGGCATATTTTAGTCCTCTTCATTTGATCGTTGCATGCAGATTGATTTGCTTGAATGATCTGAGATAATTTGTTTTATCCTCTCCTGCTTACATGCCTCTTGAGAATTTGTTCTTCGTTCATCACAAATCTCCATCTCTTCACAGAGAGCAAGCTCCCATCTCTACCTCCGCTCAAAATGCCGTAACTTCCGAACTGGTAGGAGGGGTCGTAGAAGGAGGCAAAGTCAGTGGGTCTAGGGTTTCGGCAAGGTAGGGATCGGGATTTGCGGATGGCTTCGACTTGTGACTGGAGGAAGCTGTGGAGATCAGAGGGCTGAAGCAAGTCTTCGGCTAGGTTAGAGAAATAAAAGATATATCTCTCTCTCTCACTCTCTATCTATCTATCTATTTATCTATCTATCTCTCTCTCTCTGCGGATCAAACAAATCGGAAGGTGGAGCGGGGAGTCGGGACAAGGAACTCGATCGAGCTGGCTTCGGCGGGATAAGGTTCGACGTTGAAGGAGATCGAGTGCAGGGAAGAGGTCGTCCGAGGCTTGGAGTTCAGCACAGTGAAGCTAGGTCGAAGGTGTGGAGTCTGGCTCTTCGATTGAGAGTGGAGATCCAGCGACGGGAGTGGAAGAATCGGGTAGGGCCGTGTGGTTTTCGGAAGGCTTGCGAAGGCTCAGATACTAGAAGGAAGAGCTGAAGCTCTCACTCATTCTCCTTTTAATGATGCTAAAGAGATGGAGATGATACATACGAGGGATGGGTGTCTGACAACAACGCCGTTTGCAGAGGGATGGGCACTATGGCGACGGTGGATTTGGCAGGAATTTGGTACAGGTACATAATCATTTTAAGCAAAAAAAAAATTGTTTTCTCTTTTGTCTGTAACTTGAAGGTCAACATTCATCAATCACTCCATTTATAAAAAGTGTTCTAATCATGATAAGTAACCTTAACCCTACCTCTGTTTTTAATGATTTTGTGTTTTTCCTATTTTCTCCATATTGAAATTGATAAAAATGCAATATCTCATTTTAGTAATTTTTCACAGTGTAACTTCAGATATGTGGTAGATATCATTCCCTTGAACATTTGGCTTATATTGAATTTTCACAGGAAAATTTTGCTTATATGTCATTTTTGTTAAAATTGGCAAAGTAATACTAAGTATAAAATGATCAAGAGTTAGTATATTACACTTGAATATGAAATACATAATATGCATTGATTTATTATTCATGTGGTTTGCCATATATTTTGGTATAATAC